AATCATAATTCTTTCCAGGAAACTCTCTGCCCCCACTGCTGTTCTGCATAGGTCTGAACCCCCTCAGCCAAATCATCAAGAGTCATCCTGTCCTTCCAAACAGACTCCAGGATGGTGGCTCATGGGATCCTCCCGGTCAGAGCCGTCATGCACACCCTCGACATCTGCCCCCGACCCGGAGTCAGTGAGGCACCTTCTGTGGGAGTGCAGCGCTGCTGTGGACCTGTGGGCAAAGGCCGGCTCCTTGCAATTCCCATACTTGCCAGCAATGGAGGTCCTCGACATGCAGCTAGTGCTGCACGGGGTGAGCCACCGGAAAATAAAAAAGACTTCACAAAGATGTGGCTCACCCTTGCCACCATAAAAGACCCCACATGGACCTCCAGAAACTTACTGGTAAGCAGGCGCAGGCAGATGCCCCCCCGAACGGACATCCACACAGGATGGGTCTCATTCACAGAAGGAACAATAGCAGACATAGAGGACAGTTACAAGTACCTGGGAATACCACAAGTAAATGGCAACCTGAATGAGGTCACAAGGAAAGTAGCCATAGCCAAATACCTCCAACGAATAAGGCAAGTCCTGAGAAGCCAGCTCAATGGCAAGAACAAGATCCGTGCGATAAACAGCTACACCTTACCAGAAATCAGAGACTCTGCAGGAATAACTAGCTGGCCAATGGAGGAGATAAATACCACGGATGTTAAGACTCTCGGAAACTACTAACCATGCATGAAGGGTTCCACCCCAAATCCAGCACCCTGACTAAACACGAGCCGCAAGGAAGGTAAATAAGGCAGGTGATTCCTTGAGTTTTCTACTGGTAACGAACTGCCACGAAGTATAAATCGAGGTTTATACTTCTAAATTGGTTTTCTAAATTGAGGGAACCAAACCTTTAGAGAATCGTAAAGACCTTTATCAGAAATAAAAGCCCCTCTTAGAGGATTAAGAGGCAGAGCGACCACAAAGCTGACTTGTTGGATTCTGTGAAGACGTTTGCAGTCTGAAGAGGAAATCCCACCCAATTCAAGAAGAATGGGACTAAGTGGTCCCAGCACACATTCTCCTCCTCAGGGTGAATTGCATGGAATAAAATGCTGAACATAAATCTTTTGTTGATAAATTACAGGCCTTAATATGTTTAATTTTTCTTTTGTGTGTTTGAATAAGTAAAAAAAATATTTCTTAAAAGGGTCAATCAATTAATAAATGTTATTTATAAGGGACCCTTTCATACTAAAAGCAGCTCTAAGAGCTGTACCAACAATTAGCCCTCAGGTTTCTCTGACAAACTTTTCCACAAACAGGAGCCATAATACTGGATGGATAAAAAATGACTAAAACTATATGATCACGTAAAAGGTTAAATACGATTCATAAATATAAATGTATATGTCTAGAAAACTACAAGGAAAATTACAAAACAAACCCTAATCAATTTCTATTTGCTTTTTCTCTTCCCTCTGTCTGAGCCTCACGCGGTGCATCTGACCTCTGACCTCAACTCCTCCCATCTGTCCTCCCATGGACCAAATGATGCCCCTCCTACAAAACCAGCAGATGAAAATGATCTAGAAGATCTGGAGGATCAAGAAGACAAAAACGACCTCCATCACCTGCAGGGGACAACTGTCAGTCTCCTGTTGGGCATTTGGACTGAAAACTGTGTGAGACTGAGCTTTAACAACCTCGGCTGGTCTGCTGTCCAGTATCAGCGAAGAGGAAGAAAAGCTCTTCTCTCACAGGAGCTGTGAGAGAAAAAGACTCTGAACTGTTGACTCTTGTTTCATCTGTGGACAACATGGACATTTCCTGAGGGACGATCTGGATAACCCAAAGAACCAACACCAGAACCAGTTGGACTGACAGGAAGCCAGAGGAGAGAGACGGGGGAGGATTTGGCTGCAGCAACGCTGAGACCGAGTGAGGGAGAGGGGCGAGAAGGAAGGAACAACCTGGATCCACATCAACCACTGTGAAGGACGACCTGTCTGTCATGTCCATCTAGATCACAACTTTAAATCTGAAACAGCAACAAAGTGAGCAGCAAAACTTCACTCTATCAAGAACTTCAACATTTGACACCAAAGAGGACAATGTCCACAGCAACATCTCGTTTAGATGTTTCTGAAAGGCTCTCCACTCAAAGAACTATTGCTGGTCCACTGGCGAGTGACTGAAGCGGAGAGTGAAGATTGACACTTTTCTGACAGGAGGTAACAAATCCTCCTGAGCAGACAGACGATCTGTGTTCCTGCTTCTGCACTTTACCTGCTTTCCAGATGGAAAATCTTCGTTTTCTTGTTGGGTTTTGAACGGACACTCATCTATACCTTCACTGCACTAATGTGTTTCTTTTTTTTGTGTGGGGTTTCCTAGAAAACACATGAAATTTGGTAGCTTAATTATAATCTTTCTTAGTTGTTTGACTCCTCAGGATGTTTAAGAGTTTAGAAATTCATTCTTCTAGACATAAGAGAAGTCAACTTAAAATTAACTTTAATGTGTGTAAAATGAAAACTGATAAGTTTAAAACTTTGGACATATTTAATTACGCATCAGGAATGCACAAATTTATGTTCTGTTACCACATTAAAATAAGACATTAAGGTTTAGATTAAACAAATGAACTAAATGACTTAATATGTACATTTAGGCTGTAACACCAAAATTAAACTGAGCTTAGATCAGTTTTCCTACCAAATAGAAGTGAAACAGTAAAGGGATGAATGTCTGAATGCCGGTGGGTTTTTCGTATCCTGCGTATATGTTTTTGTTTCATCATACAGAATAATGTTTCAATGATTGAATGAATATGTAATGTCTTAAAATGTATGGGATGATTTTTCACTTCTCACCATAAAAAATGTAGAAATGTCCTTTTATATAAGACTCATGTGTTGTCTCTGCCTGGCAGAGCTTTCTATCCAGAACTGCTTCATGATTGATTGTCCTCTGAGTTGTGCACAATTCATAAATAAACCTGATTGAGTGATTTTAACCTGAACAGTGTTTGGTAATAGTTTTTTTTTTCCACTACAATGGACAAAAACATTAAAGGCTCTCAAGTAAAAAGCATGTTGGACCCATGAGCCCATGCTAACATTAGCATATTAGCCTGCAAAGACTTTTATGCGTCATCTTTTTATGGGGAAGCACATCCGGCATGTCTGTGAAGTGAAACGGGTCACTGCATACCTGCACATACTGCAGACGAAGCACTTGGGGTGGTACGCGCGTCCCAGAGCGGAGACCACCTCTCCTGTGATGAAGTTGCTGCAGCGGTCGCAGCGCGTGCCGTACAGACGCTGGTAGTCCGCCGTGCAAATGTACTCGCCCTTCTTCTGGAAGAAGCCAGATCGTGCCAGGTCACAGTTACACACTGAGGGAGATAAGAATTGGCAGACAATCAGACACCTAAATCTGCAAAGCAAATGAAGGAAAAATAAAAAATAAAAGAAAATGGAAATTGGGCAATTCTATTTTTAGGATTTCACTGGTTGTCTGTCCTGTGCATATTGCGTGTCTTTACACATGGCCGATAAGGAAGTTATTCCATGCCAGAGAGCAGCGAGCCAATTTGTTCTGATGGGATTATAATGATATAATCAGTGGGAAAGTAATTTGGTTCAGAACAATGAAAGGAGTCAAAACAGTAAACATGGACCAAAACTAAACTAAATGCTGCCGAGAAAGACAAAGAGAACACGGGGGACACAAAGGTTGAACGCTCAGTTTCCTGCATGCATATATTACACTGTGTATTCAGAGCAGAACAATACGAGTTCGATTCCTTTTCTGTGAAACTGAGAGCGACTTCCAAGTGGGTGTGACTCACTGTGCAGCTCGGCGGCACATTCACAGATTAGTGTTTGCTGGTATCGTTTTCACCACACGTGTGGTTTACCACCCGTAAGCAGCACTGATGTGGATAGGGTTGGATATATCTGTTTAAGATAAAAAAAGAATTATAATCATTTTGTGTAAGTGATTTTTGAATTTTTGCCTTGTACTTAGGAATTATAGGTTTGACCTTGCAGCAGCTCTGTAATTATCCCACAGCTACTATTATCATGTAACTTTGAGCTCCGCTGGCAACTGTTCAACTTGCATGCCGACAGACTACTTCTGTCATAATGGAGGGATACGATTGATGATAATAATAATAATAATAATAATAATAATAATAATAGGATTTTTTTGGGATGTTTTGAAAAGAAAAAAGATGCCGATCAAAATAGTCCGACAACTCGTTAGTTTAGTGCGATTCAGGATTAAAATGTTAGAACAAAAAACTCAAACAGGGGCTCAATTTTTTCCAGCTCATCTGTCTCATGTTAGACTGGTGACAGTAAAACAAAAAATAAATAAATAAATAAATAATATTGTTTATAAAAGTTACATACTGCAGTTTTAAGTGCATATAGACTATCAGATTTCTCCTCCTAACTGATAGCACCCAGATGTTGGATTGGCTCCCAGAGTCGACTGTTTTTTAGTGGTTGTGAGCCGGCAGAGTTCTCACTCACACACACACACACACACACACCCGCACGCACACATATAAAATCCTCCAAAGAGGTTACATTTAATCTTAAACTGTTCATGAGAGGATCATATTGACTTAATGGTGTAATAAAAGATCAGTGGGGGGCTTGCTTGAAAACAAAAATAATCTCATCTCTCTCAAGAGAACAGAAACACATAAATCCACCCAGTGATTAGACGGCACTGCTCAAATGCAGAGTTGGGATGAGGAGAAGGGACACAAGCTACAGAGCAGTGGCAGCGGCTCATTCTCTCTCTTTTTTCCCCCCCCCTAACAGTTCTATAGATTCAGGGACAGTAGGTACAGAAATGCTAAAAACTTTGATTGGGGAGAGGCAAAAGCTGAATCACTCCATAAAAATCCGCGTGTGCATGCACCGACCACATTTCCGAAACCACTGAACAATGGCAGAGCTTCACAAAGTGCCCATGCTGCATTTTCAGCCAGACCTATTAACGGTCTCACCAAGAACCAAAATCACAGGCTACCGAATCCTTTCCCAGGAAATGGTACGAGTGGGTAAATATTTCCACATCTATAAAGCCCTTCTCAAAACTGATGTGTCCTAAAAAGACAGTCAGTTTGCACAAACAGTGTTGTTTTTTCCCCCCTTTTCCTTCTTGTCCTCTTTTTACTTACCCTCTCCTCTCCCCCACCTCTCAAAACAATATGATTTTCGGTTTCTCCTCAAATTGGCTTGGAAATGAGTGGCATACCGTCAATTAGCATAATATTTTGACGGCATTAGCATATGGACGCCAGGCCAAATCACATCTGGCTGCCTCAATCTGTTCAATCTGGATTGGAGGAGCTGAATAGAGGGTTCACCTGTTGCTAATCGCCATGTTTTCCTCTAACTGGGTGATTGGCTGGATGTATTGTAAGGGACATCCCCTTTGCTCGGTTGCCAGGAGGATGTAAACCTTCCACGGTTACCCTAGAGACAGCTGGGTCCCAGCCTGACTGATGTTGCGGCGGTGGTAGTGTGGGCGGCACATTTAAAGGGGTTGGGGTTTAATACAAGGCATTGAAGGCCCAAGTTTTGTCTTTAGCTGTGAGGAGATGCAAAAATATGCGGATGTAGATATGTAGAACAAATTGTTTAAATTTGAATTTGACTTTTGAGCATTAATTTGATCATTTAAAATTGTCTTTTCCGATGTTGAACTCTTCTCGCCATTTTACAAAGCATTTATTTTTTTCCTTTACCCGCAGACTGCTGAATAAATAAATGAGTAAACTTTCAGGGTTCTCCCTCATTTTGCATTTCAAAGGCTCACATTTCCAAGTATGTGTGTCAATGTCCACACCGTTTTAAAAAACAATGTTTTGTTATTCATGCTCAATTTGCTTCTATGCAAAAAGCTAAAAAAAAAAAATGTCTGCACAAAATCCAATTCATCAGCTAAACCATAGTTGCATATAGGGCATATAGAGCTATGCATAACTACTTAAACAATGGAGGAAGTGAGATGTGATGCAAGCTTATATTTCTGCTCCCTGACCGTTTAAAAAAAAAAAATCACTTTGTACTGCTAGACAATTTTACAAAGTTTCTGCAAGCATGGGTAATTGTACTTTTTATGAACTACAATGCAAACAAACAATATTTTAACAAATTTCCACCTTTCACTCACCCCTTCATTCCCACCAGACTTGGTTCAATTCAAATCTCGGAATAAAAATCGTTCACAGTTATCTACTCAGTCGTAGAGTTTGCAGCCTTGAGGTATTAGAACAGCGTCTCAGTCAGCTATGTCAGTGTTGTAACAGTGTTGTATCATTTAAAAAATCTGAAAAAAAAAAATTAAATAAAATATAGCAGCTTGGATCGGTGACCAGTTTACAGCAAAGCAGTCTGCAGCAGCAACATGAAAAAAGTCCTCACGTCTCCAAACTAAATCTAGATGTAAACTCCAGATCTATGGCACAAAAGGAGAGTGCTAAATGCGACTGGCCCCTCAAAAGCCACGTCTAACATGGCCTGTATCGATAGTTCTCCACTAGGTTTAATGAGCTGTGAAATAAGTGCTTCATGAAAATGTGGTTTAAGCTGACTAATTTATTTTAAATGGACTGAATTTTACAAAGTGCTTTCCCAGCCCTACTGACCACTCATAGCGCTTTGCATTATAGGCCCACGTTTATGTTTACAATCCCAGATGCATTCAGACTCAGAATTCATACACGGTCGCCATGCTAACTCATCACTCATCTTTAATCTTACATTATTTTCATTGGTTCTACTCTTGTGTTTTTTTTTTATCCCTTATTGATTTGCAGTTATTGTATTGATTTGTGATGCTGGTCCTACTTTTTCATTTCTGACGCAGACTTCAAGCACATTGTGTATCGACTGACATGAAATGTGTCTGATGCATAAATATATATTTGATCTAAATTTAATTAGATCCTATTGCAGTGCCAACTGCATCCTCTTTATTTTGATGTATTAAAATCTAAAGGTCATTTTCATGGTAACGATTTAAATTTATTAACTCACTGTAACAGGATTTTAAGCTAATTTGTTCACCTTTACACGCTCTGTGAAAATAAGCTTGTTCTTGTTGCAAAAACTGTTTATCTCATAAACTTCAAACGTTGGAGTTTTATCTTACATCTCAAGCTTGCTTTAGCAAAAAAATAAAAAAAACAATTTCATAATCATGTTTTATAGCACTGGATCGTAAGCTAATATTTTTCAAAGCTATTAGTTCATATTTTCATGTCATTACTGATTCAAGATTAAGTCTTGAGCTCAAGCTTGCCATCAGATCTTCACTGATATCACAAGTGTTTGTTGTTGTAACATTTTCAGTATAGTTATCTCTACTCAATGCCGTCTGTTAAGTATCTCAATTGTTTCCTTTTAGAGGAACTACAATACATTTTTTTCTACATCAGTACCTGGAAGCTTGACTCTTAAATAAGAGCGAGTCAAAGCATAGAGAAGTCTGACTTTCTGCTTTCTCGCTGTGAATGAACTGAGGTGTAATTCTAAGCTACACTATTGTAAAATTGATTTTTAAAAGTTAAGGAGAACAAATTTTGGCTTAGCCTCCCAGATGGGGAAAGTACTTCACACAACAGGGTTTTAGCCCTTTTTAAATTCATTTATTTTATTTTTAGATCAGACCGAGAATAAACACACATGCTTTCAAATAAAAAGATTGGATGTTACTGGAATTTTGAAAAAAAAATAAAAATAAAAATAAAAATGGTTGATGGGCTCTTCCTGGCTAGGGTAAAGTTATTGTGAGACAAAAACCAGCTGGAGCAAATTGCATGTGAAAAGCAAAGCACGCTGTTTAATATCTAATGTTTTATATAGATGTCGACGTGGATGGATGGAGGGATGCAACTGGTGGACAGATTTTTTTGTGATTTAGCTCCGAAATTAAGCTGAGAGACAAACAAATATGCAAAAGGAGAGAATTTCTTCTTGCTGAGGTTCGCCAGGCATATTTGGTGTGAGCCAGATGTGTCGAACAAGCAACTTTTACGTCTTTTGAAACGCATCAAACCTCCATAAAAACCTTCTGGAGGGGGCCATCCATTTTGAAATGCGCTTTCTTTGGAAGCACTCTGAGTTCAGCCATAACCATCAAGCAGAGGCTTTAAAACATATCCCTCCACATGTTGGTTGCCAGCACTGTGGGTGGAACAGGGACGAGGTTGGATGCTCTTTGCTGCTGCAAGTTTGCTTTGCTCCTTAAAGCAAGAGGTTTGCTCCAACCCCACAACCAGCGCCGCATGCTGTAGACAACTACCCATAAAAATAGCAGCTCATATTAGAGTCAGTCTGATCTGTTTTATTGTTCCATAAATATGAT